TTTTTCTAAAGTACTCCGATCCAAAAGTTATTGCGTACCACATAATCAACCATGGAGAAAACGAATCTGCAATCGGTTTCGACCGAACAAGCTTTTGAAATTTTTCGATCCGGTGATATGTCGTATTCAAAAAGTATGTTAACCAATCACATGCGTATGCAGTATGCAAAAAAAAGTATGCATTTTCCCATTACCCTTTCTCGTAAGACGTAAAATACTTTTAGCCGTAAATAACAAGCGCTAATAACGGTTAAAAGAATGATTGGTTAAAGTTTTACCGTAAATAAGAATATTGATAAATTCATAAAACTGAAAGCATTTTTTGAAAGAAATAATGAAATTAAAGTGTGAAAAGGCTATTTCAATATTATATGCCTTGAAAAGTCTGCGAAATAAATAGAAACTTTTCCTGAAAAAAGCGATTGGCTATGATTTTTGATCAGGTATTCTATGGACTCCAACAATAGATTACTTTATTATAGTGGGAACGAAAAAAGGGTAATGGTGATAAAACTTAGTGAGTATAGATGGCTCGCCATGGTGATCTGAAGCCAGTTTCAGGAGATCTTCAGGGGTCTCCGAAAACCGAATTGTGTTTTTGAAATATTTTTATATATTAATGTTTTGTTTATGAACGTTATGGTGGTTCATTAAAATGTAAACTATCGACGTGTCAAAATTATTTTCATTGGCCATGTGATATAACGTCAGGAGCATTTTTCGATCATCAAAAACACGAGTTGATATCTTCACAACATTTAGAACATGTTACTTCTCTATGTAAGCAAGCATTTGAATAATAACGCACTGTATTGTATTTATTTTGATGATTATAACTAGAAAGTCAGTATTCTTGAGAGTTTAGTCAAATTTAAGTACTGTGCGTACAGAAGTTTTAACTATCATATTTCATTGCTTTCTATTTAGTTGGTTCATCATCTCGTTGTCATGCATGTGATCAAATTGGCGATATATCAACTCAGTTATTTTATACGAGTTGTGATAGGCATTATTGTAATGGGCATTATTGTTTAATGTTAGAGGCAAATGTTGTTGTTAGATGGAAATGTCCCGATTGTAAAGTTTGTCAAACATGCAGGTTAGAGAAGATGTTAGTGTAGATTTAATATATCATATTCTTATAACCAAGCAAGCTACATCCAGACAATGTTCACGATGCCAAAAGTAAGAAATAAATCTGTTAGTATTCATGAGAAATCTTTTGTTTTATCGATAAAACGAATTATTTAGCGTTGACATAAGCTAATGCAAGAAGCAAACATTGTTTCTATACAAAGTTTGTTACGCATACCGCCCGGTAAATTAATTGGTATCATCCATAGTAAAGCTGCGGCTGACAAAGAATAAAATAAAACTTTTGAACTAGTAATAAATAATTTAGCCAATGTTGTGTGTTGTTTCGTCGCTGTAGTCAAATTCACCGACGAATAATAAAATTCTTTAAAAGATTCTAATATATCTTGAGAATAACTATAATAACCCGAATCTACCATATTATATTCTGAAAGGGTATTATTTTCAACAATAATATAACCATATGAAGTATTATTATCAGAAGAAGATGATATTCGACAAACAATAATAAGACATAATAAAAAATAATAGTGCGTGAATTTAATCATGATTTAATTAATTGATGGAGAATGTAGTGAATAAACCTATCTATAAAAAAGAATGACAGGTAATAAATAAATATAAGCTTTTCTCAGCAAACGTGCA